CCCACCCCCGCTTTGGTTGCTCCAAGAAAACTCGTGGAAATGTTTGAGGCCGATCCCTTTTCCATTCGTACAGGTTCTCCCTCTCCCCCCCTTCCCTTCTCCTTCCTTTCTCAGAGAGGAGCTGGAGGTGGGATTTCGGAGCGGTTTTTCTCCGGGGAGGGGTGGGGGGAGCTCCGTGGGGTTTGCGGACTGCGCCCCGCCGGGGTGCCCTGGGGGTGCGGAAGGCTGCGCAGGGGGCGGAGGGCTGCGCGGGCGCCTCGGAATGCCTGCGGGGCTGCGAGTGGGGCGGGGGGTGCGCTGCAAGGAACCACAGCTCCGGCGTGTTCTGGCTGCTGCGGGGGGCCGGGCACGGGAGATCCTGCGCGCTCCTGCCTCGCTGGGCACGCGTGGGTTTCCGACAAGCCCCGGGGGAGGTGAAGGGAGAGCGCAGCGGGGCTGGCGAGCGTCGGGGCTGTTTGTCCCCCGGTTTTGGGGAGAAGGAGCAACCCGCCTTTCAGTGCTTGATTTACGCCTGTCTGTAGTGGCGTCAGGAGATCCGTGCGATTCGGAAGTGAGTGCACGTCTGGTACAAATATATACGTGTGTGTGTGCGTGTGTGTAAGTTTAGATATTTCTCCTGTGATGAAATTAATTCGATCTGTAAGACGAGGAAAGTCCTTCTCTAGGTTCTTCTATGCAGAGGGCGTGTGTGGACGGGAAGGAAAAGCCATAATTTTTTTTTTTCTGTGGGCTTACTTAGTGACAGCCCCCTTCCCCTATTTAAAACTGAAAAAAAAAATAAAATAAAGGAAAAAAGAAAAAAAAAAGCTGCTGGTGTTTTCAGCAAGCTGTTTGTGTGTCACTTTGCCCCACCCCGATGGTAAAGTCCCTTTTGCCCTAATCCATAGTCTGATCACACACTCGGTCCTTAATGGGGGTTTCAAAGCACTTTGAAAGAAGAGGAGGTGGTTGGTGTGTGTGCGGTGGGAATGGGGGTGGGGGTGTCTTGCACAGGCTCCGGCCACAAAACAGAAATTCACGGGCAGGGGACTTCTCTCCCTTAGGCTTCGCCCTTCCCCGGCCAGCGGTACACGGGATTTTTCCACAGCGCGCAAGAAACCCCTCGAGTTTTAAACCTCCCCAAATGTGCCGAACGCGAAACTCGTCTCCCTCGCTCACCCTTTTGCCAAGCCCAGCTTGAAAGAAAAGTTAGCAATCCTGGCACTTGAGTTCGGTGAGAGTGGACTTTGGCTCTTAGAAGTGGGGAATCGTGTTATCACGCACATGCACACACAAAAAGGCAAATCTGCTTCTCTTGCTCTTGGCGGATGCAAAGGAGAGAAGTACTAGGTCAGAGGAGGGAGAGGTGTGCCCTCCTGTCAGGATTTTCAAGCAAATGTAGGTGAAAAAGAGATTTTTGAGGTTTGCAAATAAATGTGCTGGTTCTTTGCATCCTGTCCTGTTAGCGGATCTATGACGGGGATAAAAAAGGGGGAGCACCCTGCTCGGTCTGATGCCCCCACTGGAAATGCCTCCTGGGTCCCCCCGGGCTGGGGCGGAGCGGGGCGGGCTGAAGGTCAGGCAATTTGCAGAATATGCGTAAAATAAGAGGAGCTTTTCCAGCGGCTGGCTTTGTGAAGTTGAATGGGTGTTTAGCGCAAGGCGAGAGGGGGTAATCTGCCTTTTGCCCAGCTGTCCCGGAGGTGTTGTCTGAACCGTCTGCAGGGCGCCTGGCACTTCCCGGGAGGGGAAGCTCCTTTAGCATCTCCTGAGGGAGGGCAGGGGGGAAGAGTTTAAAGGAAACATGGGTTTGACTTTCTGATAAGGCGACTGAAGCAGCCCCCTCCCACCTCCCAGCCTAGAGGATGTCTCCTGGTTATCTCCAGGTTGTCTGCACTCTCCGGCGGGCGAGGGGCTGTCGCCTCCCACCTGCTGCGCGCCCCCCGCCCGAGACGGAGCTGGAGGCGGGGAGGGAAGCGGAGAGCGGAGGCTGCTTTTCCAGCTCCCACCTTGGCGTCTGAGGGGGGCTCCGCCACCGATCCCGGGGTCGTCTGAAGCGCCTTCAGGTCAGGGTCAGCTTTGCTTTTGCAGTGGGTTGTCATTTCTGGAGAATCAGCCCGGCGTACCCTCCAGGCTGGCTGGGGCTGGTGGAAACCTGGACGTGGAGGAGAGATAGGGCTGCCAATTCCTCTCAAGAATGGGGAAAGCATTTTAGTTTTTATTATTTTTTTATCTCCAGATAGTTTCAGAGGAGTTGAACATCTACTTGGGCTGTTGGTTGAAACTTTTGGTATGGCAGAGGTTTTAATTTGAAAAAAAAAAAAAAAACCATAAGCAGTGCTTCAAGCCAAGTTTGCAAGACTTTTTTCTGGGGGTGTAGGGTGGGGGGGGGGGTGGTGAAATGAGCACCGTAACATACATCCTGTGTCCTAAACCAGGATTTGACAATATTTAAAATAAGTGGTTACTCTTAAAAGTTAGAGATTTGTCTATATGTTTTTGTTTGGGTTTGGTTTTTTTTTAAGAAAAAAAACACTTGAAGCAGGGGAGCCAGGAGTTAAAAGGTTAAATGTTTTGCATTGATGTTAGAATAACGAGTGTCTTGAGATACTCTTTGTTAAACTGTTTGGCTATATTTTACTATACTGCAGTACAGTATTATTGTTGGTAACTGATGTGTACAGAGTAACACTATGGTGCTCTTTCTAGGTATAATTGAAGACATTGTGTGGTCCTTTTAAGAAGTTTGGTTCCTGCTTGGGTTTTAATTGTAGAATATTGTTCTGGATTTTTGTATAGGTAATTGGATTTTAGAGCCACTTTAAGATATGATAAAGGCAAAACAAATATTAACTAATTTAGAAGGCAGTACTTGAAATTTGAGCATATTTGAGTGTGGAAGCTATTTATGAGTTCTCATCTTTGTCTTTTACTGGCTTTTCATTTAAATTCTAAAGTCTGCATTTCTACTTTGTAGTTAACAATAATTTCAATTAATATTCATAATCAAGTAGACTTCTTGGATGCTGACATTATTTGATTATGTTATGCATGCCTCTATCCCACAATCCACTCTGGATAATATTTACAATTTGAAATGTAGTCTATGGAATTTTTTACACATTAAAAAAATAACAACCAAACAACTGTGGTAACATTGCTTTTGTAGTTTTGAGCCTTAAAATAACAATCACAGTGGTGTGCAACAGTATGACACACACTAAAATACTGGAGAGAGATATTTTTACTTGTGCTGTTGAAGTTTTTGGTAGCACTAACTCATTTAATGTCTAACCTCAAACATTTTATTGCTATTTAGTGTTTTTCTTGGGACCATTGGTATTAAACTAAAATTTCCTATTTACATCATGTAAAGTTTAATGTGTAAAGAGACTAGCCTACCAAAATATTATCCAGTTTTAAACAAAATTGGAGAATTATATGTCTGTCATCAGCAGGTCACATTACACTT